GATTATAGGTGTACTTGACGATAATAAAGTGGTGGAAGAATATGTAGATACGCAGATACAAATAGGAAACGTGGAAGTAGTACAGGTCGTATAACTGTCATTAGAATTTTGTCACTTATATCGCAATTGTTATCTTGTTCATATAATAATAAGATTCAAATTGCAGGAATTAGATCTAACGATTGTATTGATGGACGTGGGTGAAGTTGCTGAAATTGTAGTCACGCCTACATTTGCGTATGGCACACGTGGAGAACAGCATCTATATCATCTAACGCCACTCGTACATACACGGTTGACGTGAAGGAAATAAAAGAGGAGCCTGAGATAGAAACTTTAAGCATTACGCAAAGGAGAGAAATAAGGTAATAGTTTTGTTTATGAGCCATATACGTGAAGGTCACTTATTTTCTGCAGCCAAGTGTTGTTCAAAGATAAGGCTTTACGTGATTTATCTTTTTAACTTCTTTGCATCATGTTGTAATTTATTTCTTTAAAGCAACAAGAAACGCGAACGTGGAAACTGGTTTTTTATGCGAAGAGACGTCAATCACTCAATACAATGTTATCGGAGAGCGTTACAATATCTACTCATAGACAATGGTACAATAGCCCAGTAAAATGACAAAATCTTGAGGAAATAATACTGACTGGACTGAAACTTTGTAAACAGACTTGTTTTAGGGTACTATTCAACATATTAAAAGTCCCCACGTGTAGACGCTACGTTGCGGGAAGGGAAGGGTCCAAAAGATTCCAAAAATCAGTTTTTTGCAAATAACTCGGAAAATATTAACTTTACAAAAATTTATGTAGATATAAAAATTGTAGCTTACAAAATTCCACACAATTTCGTTTTTTATTCAAGTCTGTACGATCAAATGGAGCAGAGATAGAATTTTTTTAAACACTGGTAGTTTTGCCTTGATTCGAGAGTCCATTTTCTAGATATTAGCGAAAAATGCGCGACGCGCGTACGCGTTAGCCTCGATTTGAAAGTCCATTTTCGAGATATTAGCGAAAAATGCGCGACGCGTGTACGCGTTTTTGTTGCGTCGCGCGAAGTCATCGATCTTTATTGTTTTTTATGAGCGTGGTAAATCGATCGCGAAATTGCTCCCAGTTATTGTAATTTCCATCAAACGGGGGCAAACTAATGGAAGGAAGATGTGAAAGAGAAATCGCGGGGGACGCCAAGTTTGACCGCGAACTCGAAAAAAGGGAGTTCGGACTCACGACCGGCTCCAATTCCTCCAGGCATTCCGTCATATAGTCGAGGGCGTGCTGATAGGCTATGTAGGTCGTCTCAAAAGCGTCGTCCTGGAAGTAACTCAAGGTTGCCCGGCTTGCTTCAGGAATCTTCCTTTGCACGTCTGCGTGACCGTCAAAGAATTGAACCCAGCTCTCCTTGAGGGTCTGAATTCGTGACCGCACCTTCGCGGGGGTTAGATTACCCTTCCCGATTTTCTTGAAGTTCTCGACGTAGCGTTCGATCGAACGCTGAAGTTGGAGCTGCTTCACGAGATGTTCGGACATGGTGAACTTGAATATTGTCACTCACGTCACGCACTCGACCCTCCACACACGCTTCGATCCGGCTCGAAGGACCAAAATGTTCGGGCGTCGAATTTCGAGATCGCCCTGTCGCAGAGTTCCGCTCAGACTTGAGCGCGAAGCGTGTGTATCGAGAGTCCGGAGACTCGTAGAAGGGATAGATAATGGGAAACACTCGTGAAACACAGATTTGCAGAATTGCCTTTTATTATTAACAACTCGAGGGGGAACGACAAATCGTGCACCGCGAATACGGAAATCTTCTGATCCGTTCCTTGTCGCTGCCAGATATCGCGAACGGAAATCTTGAAAAAGCCTCGGACTTGAAGCTTCACGCGGAACGGAAATCTTGTTCGCGACAAGCGGAGATCTTGAGCGCGCGGCAGAAGGACGGTCGCGAGCGGAGCACGATCGGCAGTAGAAAGACCCCTCGAACAACAATCAATTACACATAAATGTGACAGATGCGCACTTGCTTAGATAGGCGCGACTAGCGATTCAGGCAATGCGAGAAGGAGATAGAACTGCTAGGCTGAGACGACTTTATACTCCGCGAGAACGGAAGCTCGATTTGTGAGCTCTTAGGCGAACCAATTCGAGCGCCGACTTTCGACGATACTGCTCGAAAGCGACGAAGAAGTGCGACTGACTCCTGCGGGCGAGTCCTCGCAGCGAGCTTGAGAAATTGGTTTTTTTTTTTGTTTTGGAACGAACACGCACAGAACTGAATCGCTATTCGCGTTGTTTTGACCATTTCACGTGTCGGAGCCGACCGCTGTCGGGCTCCAACCAATCGGAGCGCGTGACGTATTTCGTCCACGCGTGATCGAGTATCGATCGACGCCGCCGGAGCTCGGGCGGAGGGGGGGTATGATCGCGTTGAAATTAGCCCCGAGTTTGACGTTTCTCGAACAACAAGGTTCCGTGTATAGATCTGACGAATTATGCATTATTTCTTTTTCTATTAAATAGCTTTCATTCTCATATTGTATAAAATTATGTATTTGTACACCGATCCTATTGTCTAATAACACACAATCATTTCTTGTATTATTAATATCTAAAAAATAATGTTTTGTTTTTAAAATAGAAAATTGGCGACAATTCTTGTGGCTTATCCCGTTTAGTAGTGGTCCATTGCGATGACGTTTTTTCAGTTGAATGTTATCAATATTTTCTAAAACTTCGTTGCCATTGCAACTATTTGTATCAATTTCAGTTAATCTTCTTGCAATTTGTTGCAAAGGCTTATCACCTTTACGAATCAACTTTTTTATTGTAGATAGATAGTTCTCGAATCTGAATGCGCTAAAATCGTCTAATGGAACAAATTTTTCTGCATCATCAGCTAGATGCAATAAGTTATGTACATTGTGCCAAACGTACTTCTTTCCATATATTATTTGGAAGCATTTAAAATGTTGTAAAAGTTCTCTTGCATACTGAATATTTTCTATCTTAGCAGATAAATGTGGACTAACTAAAATTGTTATTGCTGCGTGTAATGTCAGAAAATTGGAATAAACACTCTTGTCTAAAATACTTTTAAGTGCTACAGGACCGGTATACAATAAAAACTGCCTCAACTCAGTTGCTTTCCATAATTTAATGTAATTCATATCTCGTGGTTTTCTAGAAAATTCAACAAGGACGTATTTTCTAAAATTAATTAAAGCAATTAAAATTTGTTTTTTTTTTTAGCAATTGATAATTTGAAATGAAAGGGTTTCGTAATCCACAATAGAAGAAGTTTTCGGACTATACCCAGACAAACTAGATGCATATAGTCTAAAAGCACATTTGTTACTAAACCTAAGTTAGGAATATTACATAAAATAGTCTGCCCAATTTGGTACGTGTTGTTATATGCAAAATTTCTGAAATTTTCATCTGTTCTAAGTACTTCATTTCGATCATAGGGAAAACAATTTGTGTCATCTATATATTCTCCTTTTATAATACATTTAATACAACTGTAGTAACCATTGTGAGACTTAACTTTTAAAATATAAGCTTTTGCAGGTGCATCACATATTATACCTGATACTCTGATATTAAACAAAGTATTATTTACGGCAATGCCATTATTTATGAAATATATTGCTTCATTCACAGTTTGTTCAAGCAAATTATTAGAATCCTTTGGTTTTGCTTCACCACAGTAGATA